GAAAAAGAAAAACAAGAAAATAATAAGGCACCCATATGCCCATGCATACAGGCAAGAGACGAGTTCATAAGTTACACATAACCCCCAAGAGTGTGCTCCTGATCAGTCCCTGTATGGAAGCCCGCTCGGCGGAATTCCTTCATTGCGTCATTTTTGGTGCAGTGCGATGAGTCACACCGATGAATTCTTCTAAAATTTACAGTCAAACCAGGATGCTTCCCCAGGGTAAACTGCCTAATCTGCGATTCTAGTCTGAGTCTGAGCCTCAAGAAGCAAAAGTGAAACGAAGCACACGATCCTAAAGACAAAACTATTTATTTTTTCGATGCAATGGTGACTCTTCATCGCCTTCTTCTTTCACCAGTGCAGGCAGTCTCTTCAAGAACAATTTCTTCCCCAGGCCATCGGCATATTTCCGGTGCTTTCCTCGACGTATTCTCTCAAGTTCCCGGGAGTCAACCATTTGAAGTCGTCTTCGAAGGAGCATTTTTCGGCTGAGTTGCACAGCTATCAGAATGATTGTCCTCGACGGCAATGCAATATTTTTAACAGCGTCGACGCGTCCTCACTTCTTCCTGTCGCGATGTCCATGGATTCTTGGAGAAAGAGTTTGTTTTTGAGAAAGTACGATACATCCGAAATGTCTTGAAAAAAGCTTCGAAAAGTCGAGGCTACAGCCTTGAGTTAGGAGCGGTTCAGGGTATAGTTTCCAGAAATCGCAAAGAACCCAAATTTACCTCGGATGACAAGCTGCGCATGACGTAATGTAGGAATTTCGCCGAGCGCTGGGTCTATGCGCGTTGCACACTCTTGGGGGTTATGAACTCTTGATACAGGCCATTTTGATGGCCTATATATAGGCAAGAGTTCATAACCCCCAAGAGTGTGCAACTCCTGATCAGTCCCTGTATGGAAGCCCGCTCGGCGCGACGGAATTCCTTCATTGCGTCATTTTTGGTGCAGTGCAGTAGTGCGATGAGTCACGCCGATGAATTCTTCTAAAATTTACAGTCAAACCAGGATGCTTCCCCAGGCGCAGGGTAAACTGCCTTTGTTTATAATCTGCGATTCTAGTCTGAGTCTGAGCCTCAAG